TTTGCACGAATGTCTGCAGTTTAGTAATAACGCATAGTAATAATTATTTCACCGAACGACGAGCAGCAGAGAATTTTTCTCGCGAAAAAAAGCTCAAAAGGTCCGTGATTATAATATGTTAAGATCGTCCATTTGCAGTGGTCAAAAATCGTGAAATTGTTGCTTGGTTTTTCATTACTTTAATTGCGCTTAATCCTACGAACACAGAAAGGACACGATTTGAAGGCAATTAATGATTATAAATAGTTATTATAATTACTTATTCTAGTTACAATTATTATAATTATAATATTAATAATAGTCTAATAATTATAATTATTAAAACAAAGAAGGTATTTTCCTGAAACTTATATTCCTTCCAAGTAACTTATACAGTTTCTAGTTTTGCATAAAGGTCTGTGGTCTAATAATAACGCATAGTAATAATTATTTAACCGAACGACGAGTAACAGAGGATTACAACATCAATAATATTCTGGTAATTATAATATTAATAATATTCTGATAATTACAATATTAATAATACTCTGATAATTATAATATTAACAATATTCCGATAATTGTAATTATTAAAAGAAAACTGAAATTTATATTATATCCTGAATTATTCTGATTATATTATCTTAACTAACATTCCTTCCAAGTAACTTACACAGTTTCTAGTTTTGCGCAAAGATCTGCCGTCTAATAATAGCGCATAGTATAATAATTATTTAACCGAGCGACGAGCGGCAGAGAATTTTCCTCGCGAAAGGTCGCTGAAAAGAGCCACGACTAAAATATGTCAAGACCGTCCATTCCTCGCGGGCAAAAATCGTGAAATTTGTTACTTAGTTCCTAATTAATTTAATCGCGCTTAATCCGACGAACACCGAAATTACCCGTTTGAAACCCGCAAGTTCCCGCGAATTCCAGCCGGAAGTCGGACGTCTACGATGCTCGTACATATTTCCATTACAAAAGCTAAATATTTCGTTGCGTTATTTAATCATTTGCTCGTCCGCCGGATAAATTCGTCGGAACGTCCTCTGCTCTCCGGGTTTCCGCTCGAGACGGGAGGCTGCCAATTAAATAATTGCGTCGGACGGATTGCCGAGTTGCGGCGCGAGGACGAAATGTAATAATTATCCGGCCGGCTGATATATCGGTCGTAATATTTCTGACATAAATTAAACATAAAGGCGGGGGATTGGGGGGCGTGGGAGACAGAGGGGGGACAGAAGGACGCCGGTTGTCACCTCGGACGAAGATGAATCGTTGGCTTAATTGGACGGTCCCTCCGACCCCGCCGGCTAACGCCGACAACGCGAGGAAATGTAAGCGATGAAATATTTAGCGTTTCTCTGCGCGTACTAATTAATGAGACGGGATTAGAGCGTGATAAACACGACGGAACAATAAGCTTCGTTCGCGATCTAATTCCCCGGAGGCATTTCCATTCGGGAACGGGGACCGAGCCGAACCAAATAAATTCGTTCTATTCTTTCTCCCTTTGTTCTTATCGATGCAATTCCCATGCAGTTCAGATGTAAAGTGCCCGTCCCCCTTCGCTGCCCCCCCCCCATCCACCGACATTCGTTAGGAAGTTCGTCGCAAGCCAACCGTAGGGGAGAAAACGCTTTTAAACGATCTCCCCGTCTCTCTCGCTCTCTCTTTCTATTTCTCTCGGTCGCTCGGTCATTAGGAGAGGGGAATTTTATTTGCATGCAATTAAAAACGCAACTTCGCTAAATACTTCCAATACTTGGGCCGGGGACCGCGGCGTCGTCCGATAAACTTGCAAATAGCCGCGCGGATGCAATTAAACCGAGCTCGCGCGTAGAGTCTGCGAAGACTGCGACCCGGGAAAATCACCGGCAAGTTTCTGCGGTTTCCGCCGGACCCTCGGCGTCCGTGTTACCTGTTGTCAGCGAGAATAGAGCCGCGTTTATGATCGATCCGCAGCCGGTGCATACGACGGAGATCGTTATTGCCGCGACGGACCCGGCGGATGTCCCCGAACATCGATGCGCTTTTGTGCTTTCTTCGCGCTCGCGGCCGATCCGAAAACCGGCCGTGCTTTCAATGTAAGGTAATTGGACGATCTGGGAAGAGGAGATGCGATTATTCGAGCCTCGCGGCTCGTTCTTACAGTTACCGATTTGTTAATAATTGTTAGGTTAGTACTTGTGGTTAGGTTAATGCTTGAATCGGTTTTAACCCCTTCGCGACTAAGGGAAATATTTTTCTCTATTTTATAATTGGTGATTGTCGTAGTTAATTATCGGTTATTTTTGGTACGAAACGCAATTTTCCAGCACGCAACACGTAACAAGCAGAGAAAAATGAGAAGACGTGCGAATTGTGCTATGAATGTACGGTAATTGGACGATTTCGGAAGAAGAGATGCGATTATTCGAGCCTCGCGGCTCGTTTTTTCAGTTGCCGATTTGTTAATAATTGTTAAGTAATCGGTAATTACTTAGTTGCTAATCCAATAGTTAAGAAAAGTGTCTCTAGCTAGTTCCCGAAGAATCTCGGAACGAGATCGGACACCCAAGTGAACCGTGATTTCTCATAATTTTGCAGGCACGCCGCCGGTCGTTCCGTCTGCGAGGATTCCGGCACGGCGGAGGCAACGCCGGGCGTTGATCATCGGCGGCTCCTTTGAGCGGTGGACGCCGCTTTAATAACCAGTCAACCACGCGAAGTATTTCATTAGACCGAAGGAGAAGCAAGAGGAGAGGATCGGAGCGGAGAGACGTGGAGAGGATAGAGAGCCGACGGGAGAAGCGAGCGGAGGGTGACGAGAAGGTGGGCCGAGTTTGCGAGGGTCGCGCGCGATGCTGCGAGTCTGCGGGGACAGAGGGTTCCCTTTGACTCTGATCCCTTGCCCGCGCCGACGAGATAGGATCTCGGTGGTCCTGGCGCGAGAGGAACGCGAGGCAGATGCTCGGCCGAGTCCGCGGAAACTTTAATAAGTGTCCTGGACCGGCAGCAACAAGTTCTCGGCCGCGTTTCCGTGTCGCTGGGCTGAACACCTGGCCCGGTGTGTATCCCAAGGTGCCCGGAATCTCTGGTGGTACCGAACGCGGGAGTATCTCGACTCCGAGGATGGCTGGCCGGCTGTCGTAAAAAATCCCGAGTCGACGCGCAAATGACGCCGGCCTCTCGGTCCGAGGATGCCGGGAGCTTTTGGCCGGCGGCCGACGGGGCTGGGCCGACCTCGCGGCTGATCGGCGATCGTTGAGAGGGACGCGGGACGCGAGCTATGACGCCTGGGGAATCGACGAACGTCGCTGGGGACCGTCTCCGAGGGTCGAGCTCTGGCAGGCCATTGTTTCCGGTGTGCGCGGAGCGGAATTTCTTTCCTGGCGGCCGGCTACGCGTCTCCGAGAACGCACGGTCCGTGAAGAGCGGTGGGCCGCGTTCCGCTCGGCGGGTCAGCTTGGAATTCGTAGTACGGTGGTGAGTGATGCTTGTGCTTTTAGACTTTGCCGGGCTCGCGGTGTCTTGCGATCGCTGAGTCAGAGCTCGTCGGCACGACGGGTTCACTGCGGGACTCTTTCCGAAATCTGTTTCATTTCGAAGAAGCCGGGAAGAGAGTGCTATGCGATCCGCAGCGGGGAACCGCGGCCAAACGGCGCGGAGGCGGGGCCGCCGCGGCTCGCTGCCGGTTTGATAACTCGGTTCGGAGACAGGGTGCGCGATCCGGCACCAGAACTTGCCCGGAGTTTAGTCCCCGCGGCAGCTCGGTCTCGCGAGGCCTCGCGGCGAAGCCGAGAGCGGACGATCGGCGTCTCGGGCGGCGAGCGGAGTCGGGCGGAGTCGTGCGGAAGAAAAAGGAAAATTGAGAGATTAAAGGGACAGTGTAATAGGAGGAGGCGGCGGCGAGGATACTGGCTGGAGTGGCCGGGCCACGGACACGGTGGAGGAGAGCGGGGATCCGCGAGGGGAAGACCGGGAGGGAACAACGGACTGCTACGTGAACGAGCAAGTTGAAGAGGCGGGGGCGTCGGAGAGAGAGCACCACCAGGGAAGTTTCTGTCTGTCCGAGGTGGATGGGGGTGAAAATGTTCGGAGTGTTGCTGGCATGTGTCTGGCTGGTTGCCGGCTCCCCGTTACACCCGTGGCCGCTAATACCGCACAAAGGTAAGTGGCCCATCTACTTATAACTTCTTACTGCGAGCCCGAGCGAGGCCGCCGATGATTATTTTCCGGCTGGATTTCCTGCAGTCGGCTGCCAGATTTCCTGGCTCACGACGTACCCTCGTTTCTTCCATGCCCGATCGACGAATAGTAGCTTCGATGTCTGTTTCGACGTCCGATAACATCGTTGCGAATAAATCGCGCGAGTTTTTTCTAGGATTTTTCAGTAGCGCAAATCGAGCACATGTCGGACGTCGGCACGGTAACGCGAGTTTGTATACGAATTTTTCCCGGGAAATTAGAGAAAGTTTCATCGTTGGTTTCTTGCGAAACGGTTCTACCGGGTGTACGGTTCGAAATGATACATTTGCTATGATTTTCAGTGACACAAGTCGGCTATAAGTTGGACGTCGGCACAGTAACGCGAGTTGGTATACGATTTTTTTCCGGGAAATTATAGAAAGTTTCCTCGTAGGTTTCTCGCGAGACTGTTCTACCGGGTGTACGGTTCGAAACAATTCATTCCCTATGATTTTCAGTAGCACAAATCTCACGTCGTCACAGTAACGCGCGTTCGTACACGATTTTTTTCCCGGTAAATTATAGAAATTTTTCTCGTCGGTTTCTCGCGAAGCGGTTCTACCGGGTATACGATTCGAAATAATTCATTTCCCATGATTTTCAGTAGCACAGGTTATTCATAAATCAAACCTAGAAATGTCTAAGCTCCGGCGCGTTGTTCCTCATTGGAATTATCGAAGAATTCGAAACTAGCTGAATCTGTTGCCAAAGATTAACTGAAGAACGAACGATTCCCCGGAATTGCCAGTAGCAGAGATTGTCCATAAGCCGGACAAATCGTGTTAAATAGCCGATATTTCTTGATGATACGTAAAAATCTCCCCGAGTCCATTAAAATTATTCATGCTTGGCCCCGGAGAATAGCTCCGCGGAATTTCCTTCGAGTTGCTCGTCAACTAAAAGCCGGGGAAATTATGAATTAAGGAAGTTCGAGGTTGAAAAGCTCCTTGAAAATTGCTGCTGCAGGTAAATTTTCTACACTCGAGAAGATAGAATGAAACTTCTCCCGTTCCGCCGTATTTTAAAGATCAGAAATCGGATACGAGACCACGATTCTCTCTCCGCCTCTTCATCTCCCCTCCCCTCTCTCTCTCTCTCTCTCTCTCTGTCTCTGTCTCTCTCTCTCTCTCTAGCTCGCTTTCTCCTCTCTCGTTTCTGTCCCACGAAGGTCCGCTCGGCACCGTTCCGGCCCCAACCATATCCTGATCGTACGTTCGCCGCGGTGATGCGGTTTAATGGAAACCCGGAAGTTTGTTGCAACTTTTTCCCGGGGCGGTCCTTTTTTCATCGAAATTACAGGAGCCCCAACGGAAGGGCGGCTGCCGCCCCTCGTGTCTCCCGCCCTCCTCCCACGGTTCTTTACTCGGCCGACAGTCAGCAGACTGTAGTTTTACGGCCGATGCGAAGACCGTAATTTAAAATACTCCGCGATAAAGGAGACGAACGATAACTGCTTAACAACGAGAGGAAGGAGGGGGGGAAGGAAAGTTATTCCATTTCACGACGTCGGTAATCCGATGCGGAAAACTTGCCCGACGGCTCCTCTCTTTTTTCTCTGGGAATCATCACACAGCGTCTCGGCCCGCACGCGAATTATTCGGATATAGAGATCCACCGAGAAATTTCATTTCTCCTTCCTTAATCTTGTCAGCGGCCACGTCGAATGTTTCAACTGGCGTTGATCCACTTATTGCCAGATGTCGTCGTTGGCCACGCTGAGATTCATAATCCGTATCCGTATCTACGGTCCGAATGCCAGACGTCTTCGACTATGTTCTTTGAATCAGTCGCAATCTCTTGGAAAAGTGGACGCGTTGCTGATGTGATATCGAATCGAGTTGCTATAAAAAGGCTGCTATATTTTGTATTTTTCACATCTACAGTAATTCTTAAATGTTTGGAGTCAGTTAGCTGTCGCAATCTCTTGGAAAAGTGTACGCGTTGCTGATGTGATACCGAATCGAGTTGCTATAAAAAGGCTGCTATATTTTGTATTTTTCACATCTACAGCAATTTTTAAATATTTGGAGTCAGTTAGCTGTCGCAATCTCTTGAAAAAGTGTACGCGTTGCTGATGTGATACGGAATCGATTTACTATAAAAAGGCTGCTATATTTTGTATTTTTCACATCTACAGTAATTTTTAAATGTTCGGTGTCGGAATCGGAACACGCAGATCTGAGAATACAGTAATGTCTCTCTAATTGACGTTCAGATTGTCCACAAAAGTGGACAATTTAGAGAGAAGAGAGACGATTATTCGATCCTTGCGGTTCATTTTTATAGTCACGAATTGTCAACAACTATAAAAACGAGCTCCAAGGCTCGAATAATGGTATCTCTTCTTCTTAAATTGTCCATTTTTGTGGACAATCTGAGCGTCATTTAGGGAGACATTACTGTACTAAGTCGCGCTAAAAAGACTCGATTCTTCGAGCCACGCTGCTCGTTTTTGTACAAACTCGGGGCAGTCGGCAACAGCAATCCGAAATATGGCATTTCCAGGAGAAATTACTGTATCATTATTTTGTAATCTGAAGGATATTTCGCCTGTTTAATTAACACTATCACGGCCGCGGCAAAAACCTCAAAAATTTCATAGAATTGAAGTATTCCATTCGATTAAATAAAAATTGCAAAATAAACTTATATTACATCGAATACTTCTTGAACATTCTTAATTCTCTTGAAAATTTTAATAAAATCAAAAAATCATTTTTAATTTTTAAAAATTAGAAATGAAAGATTTTACCATTTGGTCGTGGATCGGCTGAAATTAAAATGGGGAGATCTCCCCATTCGCTTTGCTAAATTTTAATAAATAATAATGATAATAAAGCATTGGCAAAGATTATAATTCCTTAAGAGTGCTGTTACATCGTTCGATAAATAAACTGTACAAATGTAAAAACATTGCAAGGCAACCCACTGCTTTACTTAAACTGCCCTAACGTCGTGAAAGGAACGTCAATTTCGCTTCAAGTATGTCCACGACAGCTTATTTTTTTTTTAAAAGACTAAAAAACTGATAGCCTCGCGCCATACTGCTTTCGGTCAATTTATGGTACAGTCATGGGCTACTTGATGGGGCGCATTCGTTGACACGTGTTTGGAAAGTTAGCAATCTTTAAGTACGGCAGGCGACCTCAGGTTATATTAATAACCCTTTATTATAACCCTTTGGGTACATTTGACGATTAAGACTCATTATGTACTTCTTTTGTTTAAGCTACGAATGACGAGTTTAATTCGTCGTTCAAACTTCTAATTACTATGCACATATAATATCGCTGAAACAATTGAAAATCCTCACAAAAAATCTGCTGCCTTTATATACTCTTGATCGGCAAATTAAAAAATCCGTTCCAAACGCAAGAATTTCTTCATATAAATCTGTACCGAAGCGGCTAAAGAGTCTTGAAGTCTTCTACAGTCTTCTTGAAGGATCTGGCCGCGGAGAGGGGAAGGGTACGGGTGCCTTTTGCTAAGAGGATTGTGATTGACCGCTCAGCTCTTGTCCCAGAGCCATCGAGGAGTACGCTCCTTATTTTTGCTTAAGGAATTTCCAACAAGTAGCATAAGCCTGCCGTTCGCCAGACACGCGCGTCGCATACACAGACAGACGATCCGGACCGCATTTTCACTGGAAATACGAGATATTGCGGGTTTCTACATCGTGCTCGAGGAACCAATTTCTAAGTAGCGCGAGTCTGTCCACTGTCAGACGTTGTAGTTTCAGGAACAGTTCTGTTATCTGTAAGTTCCGACCGTTAACAATATCCGCGGCAGTCTACCGCGGATTAAACGGCGGTATCTACACCGTAAGTAGCGCGGGTCGACGCACGGCCAGACGTCTGCCCTATAAAACGATTCCGTCTACGGCGGCGTGCGCAAAGTAAATGCGAAACAGACGAAGGCGTTCGCTTCTATCCTGTTGGTTTAACGAGGCCATTCCGGCGCCGATGCCGGGTCCCCCTTTTTTTTCGCCCCTCCCATTGGCCGGTGCCCCCTTTCTTCGAGCGGCCAGAGATGAAAATGAAGACACGAACCGACGGTAAATCGAGCGGTACCGAGTGGAAATGCACGCTCGATTTCGCAAACGCGACGCTCGCGCTATTACGCGGCTTTGCTCGCGTAATCGCGCCGCCATTCCGGGAATTAGTCCATCAGGATTCAACGTCGCGCGAGACCAACCGAGTCGTGTCGACATTGTTGCCGTTTCGACCGTGTCCACCAGGGAAAAAACGCGCTTTCTCTCTCTCTCTCTCTCTCTCTCTCTCGCTCGCTCCAGCGCTCTCTCTCTCTCTCTCTCTCTCTCGCGCGCGCACGCTCTCTCTCTCACTTGCGCGCGCGCGCTCTCTCTATCCGCGTGTCAGAAAGCACGGCCCGTAATACCTCGAGGATTAATTGGCCACGCGGTGGATCTCTTCGAGCGTTCATCTAAAGGATTAGACAGATAAATACAGTTCTTGTTGGATGGGCTTCAATCTTCCGAGCTCCGGCTGTACGCCCGAATCGCCTGCGTTCTCCGGATTTGCGATTTTTTCGACCGTGAAACTATCGCAGCTTTCAGCGTGAAACTTTTCTCCGCAGTCCCTTCTGTCTCTCGACAGCGGTCGCGAAATCTCTGATCGATAAAATTGCTGAGGGCGCGACCGTCTCGAGACCACATTGTTGCCATTAGTCGTGAAGAATACGAAATACTGTTAAATATTCAATGGAAGAAAAGGTATGTTAAGTGATAAAGAATCTCTTTATTATGTGCTATGTTCTCGATGCACGCTTACAGATTGTTTTATCATTTGCTTTTAGACAAAACGCGCGAGCAACAGTCACCGTTTCTTCTACCATAATCTTTACGATGATAATAATAGATAGATTGCGACGTTGCTATGCATTGGATTCTTAACAAATACTACAGC